AATTCCTGGGTTTCAGTCATTTATTGTCTTTATTTATCAATTAAAATACGTTTCGGTGTATTTTTCCACCATCATCAGTTTTTACGTGTAGCGTTTTTGCAAAGCAGCAACAACGCTACACGTAAAAACTGATGATGGTGGAAAAATACACCGAAACGTATTTTAATTGATAAATAAAGACAATAAATGACTGAAACCCAGGAATTCATTTTGATTTGGAATTGAAACACAGTTAGGAAAGTATATACAATATCAATAGTAAGGTAAAATTCGCCTATAGGTCATAAATATTTTGCAAAGCCAAGGTTTTGACCCAAGTCAAATTGCAGTATAAAGCTTGAAACTAAAAAAACTCCAAAAAATTGAGAAAAAATTAAACCAAATTGAAAATAACCCGACTAATAGACCAAAGTTTCCTCTTCTGACTGCTGTACAAAGCAGCACTCTTATTGACTCCGGTTTCAAGTGGCAAATTTTTGAAAAATCTCTTGCCAAAATACACCTAAACCAAACTGGACTTTGCTACGTAAAAGTTAAAGAACCTCCTAAAAATTCGGGAGAAGTGAGATTAAATCGATGCTAACGTGATTAATAGAGCAAATTTTTCTCTATGGGGAGATGCCCCAAGCTTTCCTCTCGTTGATCGCCATTTTGAGTGAGAAATTTTTGAAAATCTCTTGTAAACCAAACTTAAAAAACATGAAAAAGTTAATTGCTAGACCAAGACTTCCAATGCGAGGAGCCCAACTTTATGCGATTTGAGCGAAATTTGGAACAATTTTAGATTTACATACTTTCTATAAGCTGACAGACCACATTTCCACTCTCTATTTGCTCCAGATTGGAAGTTACGATTTTTTATTTCAGAGGTGGCAGTTGCGTAAAATTTTTGCAATTTTTTGACCAAAATTTGCAAAGGGCGCAAAAATCAGCATCGTATGCAATTCAAATTAACTTTCGCCTTGTTTTAGACTCAAGTGTCTTCTTTAGACTGTAGAAATTCTAATTCTGTATCCGTTCTGGAATGGAAGTTGCGAATTTTTATTAGAGAGCTTGCAGTTTTAGATTAGATGTGCGTTCAAAAGATCGTAAAGTTTTTCTGTCGCACACCTGCACAACAGATTCACTATAGCTACTAATAGCCAAAGAAAAAAATCATAGTCATCAATGATGAATCTTCTGAGGGAAATGGACTTGTGCAAGGTCCCTTACCTATGGTGGTTTCAGTGATGGTTTTCCCTACCAGCTTGACCCCCTCATCGAAATTCGACAGATGTTGCAAGAGCATCGTTCCATAAATCCTCTCAATGGTGCCCTCATCCGGGAATGTCATGTTGATCACGTTGAAGCGGCTTTGAAGACGATCGGAAATCACTTGTCTCCCGCCTCCTGGCGGCCCCATCGAGCCCAAGACGTGCATGTTCTACTCAGACCCGTTTCAACATAACCGATTGGATAAGAACTTCCTCCGAAACTCACCTCCACATATTTCCTGGCCTGCTTTTCCCGATCGTACCAAAAGCCATAATCCATCCACTGCCTAAGAAGCTCCAAGGGCGGCTGGGACCCGTAGGTCTCCTTGGCCGGCATGTTAAGGTCGTCCAGAAAGGCCACCATCGTTTTACCGCCGCTGGGCGCATAGTGGCCTTTGGTGCGTTTCTCCAATCGGCCCTCAATAGCATCCTGGATCAAATCAAACCACCATTACTCCCACCAAACGTCCTCAACTCAGAAACAAGTACCTGCAGATTAGCCGAGGATGTTTGAGCGCTCATATTTACGTTCAGAACGGTGTACGTATCCGAGTCCAAGGTTCCAAGCACGGATTGGGCTGTTGAGGTTTTTCCCGTCCCTACAGGCCCGGTCAGGAGTACCGGACAGCCTTTGTGAAGCAGCGCATTCACAACAAATTCGTAACGCACTGTATCAATTGTGGGGACGATGATTTTGTAGAATGGCCACGAAGACTCGAACCTCCAACCTGAAATATACCCACAACTAATGTACATAAGTGTGGCAATTAATCGAAATACTTAAGGACTACTGGCAGGTGACATGAATTTTTGCAGAACATCGGCGGGAAATTCTGGATTAGAGCACGTGAGAAATGAGGAGATAAGAGATCAAATGGAAGTAAAAGGAACAATTGTAGGAGAGTTTGAAAAACAGCTATTCATTAAATCAGAAGATGAAGGTGAAAACAAACAAGCCTGGCGAGCGGTAAATAAATGTTTAAACTGTAGCAGAAAAACACCTACTCACCATACTTGAGCTTCTCTTCCCAGCTGGCGAACGAGTAGTTTTGAACATCTACATAATACTCATATATGCTGTCCTTAATAGGGAACACGCCCTCTTTTTCTCGTATTAGAGTGTCGAACTTAGTGCGGCCCTCCTCATTGGTTGTGCAGCAAATTGACCAAATCGTACAGAATAAAAACCAGTTTCGCATGGCATCTTCGAAATGTTCCTAAGCCATGGTCAATGAGCCAATCAGTGAAGAATAGAACAGGGTGTGAGTAGAAAATTCTTTGCAAATCTTGGAAGTAGCAGCGAAACAAGAAGATTATCTTAAGCACCACGCTGACGCTGTATCGGGTATTTCTTCATAAGTTAACACCCCCCTCTAGATCATTTATTTACAAAAATGGTAAGACTGGTCACCTTATGAGAAAACACCCTGCACCTAACCATTCACTCCCTCATCCTTTATAACTCCTCCCACATATTGACGCCAATTCCAACCACTCTGTACCTCATCGGCTGCATTAACTCCATTTTCCTTAGTGGCAAAAATATCCAGCATTTTGCATAGAGAGGCAACCAAGTTGATCTCGCAACACTCCACAATCTCCATGCAGTTGAAGCGCTTGAATTCCAGAATCATGTCCAAGTACAAGGAAAAGTAATTCCACACGCTCTCCTGAAATCTGGTTCCTTTGGCTGCCTGGGTGTCTGGAAAGAAAACGGTGTTGATTGCACAAAGAGGACTTTTCCAGGAACAGCCCCACTGATCCAAGAGCGAACAAACGGCTCCCATCCCCAGTCTTTGTAGTCGTTGTAGACCATGCCGCATCTGGAAAAGGAATGGGTTATCATTAAAGCTGCCTGGAGTGGATAGGAATTCACGTTCTACCTGCTGACTGTTGCAGGAGATGCCACGGATAAGTCCCCAACTTCAAACAGCAAGGACACTTGTTCGGGCATGGTGATTCGGTCACTGTTGATTAGCGTTAACACCTAACAAAAAGGACAATTTTTTAACTGGTAAAACTGACTGATGTTTGATGCACTTTTCATTGATTTGATCAGCTTCATAAAAGTACAGGCTTTTGAATGTGTTATTTGCAGACTGAATCTGGTATAACCAGCAGGAACAAGCATATTAAAACAGGTTGGAAACCGATCCTGAATTCGCAACTGGGAATCAGTTAACGATTTTTTTTTTGAAAATGGATTTACTTTGTTGTCATCCATAACGCTGTTCATGTTTTCAATCCATACTGCATCAACAGGACCATCAAACAAAATCCACTTCTCGTCCACTGACTCATCTGAGCAGGTCTTCCGCATTATGGCGCTGATCACGCCATCCAGCCACTCATTGGTGCTCAAGTTGTATTCCCCATACAATTCTCCCAAGTTCAAAGCCTTCGGATTGATCGGGTAAATCTAAAAGATTATTTCCGCATATACAGGGTGATTCAGGTTTAATCTTGAAAACTTTGCCAAAGTTTAGGTAGGTGTAGGTTTATTTTAACTAATATTAGGAGAACTTTGCAAATTCTGCTACATACTTGGACGCTGTTGAATCCGGGTTTATTCTGTTGCTTTAGCTTGCCCATGGTTCCCTGTAACGTTTTCCAGGTGACGGTTTTGGCCGTTCCAGTTTTACCGAGGATCATTACGGAGTGACGGGAGTTTTTCGTCTCATACAGCTGAATCACCTGGGAATTGTCGGGTGTGAGAGTTTTGGTCGTTTATACCGGTAGGGCAGTAAAAGGGTACTTTGGTCATGGCAATGGGTATGGGTTGCAAGTTGTTCTCGGTCATAAATTCCGTCATGGCCAGATTGATGTCCAAGTAGTCGACGTTTGGAATCACGACTCCGGGAAAAATGTCGGACATGATGCCGTTGAAAAGTGGCAAATCATTTGCGGTAAATCTATAAAACAACAAATTGAATTTTACAAGCGAATTTGCTGCAAGATTAATTTGCAAAGTCATATGGAAGATTTAGTTGGAAAGATACTGAGTCTTAGAAAGTCAAGTCTATGAAGAATCGACCTTCTGGTTTAAGCACCTAATTGCTTCTACAATGCTGAGACAAAATATAGAACTGCTCGCATTGCAGGAAATAACGTAAGAAGCGAACTTTAGAAGAAGCTCAAATAAAACCAGAAAATTTTCAGTTCCAATTTAAACTTAAAAAATAAAATTTTTTAGACCAAATTTACAAAGGTGCTCAGACGCTGAAGAGGAACCAATGCGAAGCTACCTAGAAAGTCCATACCAACTAGACCTACCAATTAAATCACTGCGATTAAATGAAGTCAAGACTATAATTGACCACACCAGTACCAAGAAAGCCCCTTACAGAGGCTGTAAAATGGATTATGGTTCTATTCAATGCAATATTAAGAACAGGCTATTACCCCAGTCAATGGAAGGTAGCCGAAATCATACTCATTCCAAAACCTGGGAAACAACCGGAAGAAGCCGAGTCATACCGACCCATCAGCCTGCTGCCTATTTTATCTAAGGTATTCGAGAGAGCTCTGCTCACAAGATTGAAACCAATTCTAATAGAAAAACATATAATTCCTGACCACCAATTTGGGTTCCGCCACCAACATGCCACCA